CTCTGTATCTTCAAGTGTCCGAACATGCCCCTGGAGTTCGTCTCGGTTGCCCAAGCTGCCGTAGTTGGCTAGTGTTAGAAGCTGAAGTTTCTCTTGGAAGGTCGCAGTAGCAATTCGCTGCAGCTTCGCAAGCACATCGTAGTGCTCTTGGTCGTATTCTAGTTTCGACAACTGTCTGCCCGTCTGGTCCTCGATGGGGAAGTATGTGAAATGGCTCAGCAAGTTGAAAAGGTCGCGGAACAGGCCATTTTCCTCATCCGTGTACATGGGCGCTAATCGAATCGCGGGCAGCAGATTCAGATCCTTTAACAGCGTATTGACATATCTCCTCGTAGGTAGCTGGCTTTGCAGATCCGTGAGTAGCTCCATGAACCGCTCGCAGTAGGCCAGATTATCCTGAATTTCCTGGCGCGACGTGCTGTTATACAAGCGGTCCAGAAAGTCCAGAATCAAGGTATATAGCCACGAGCGCTCGAACCGCAGCCTAGCCTGCAGCGTCTCGTCCGCAGCGTCAAAGCGCTTGTGTGCCGCCCGCCAAGCCTTCCGCAGCATCTGGTGGTGGTCAAACTGGTGCTCCCGAGCGGCGTCCGAGTGCAGATTCTGCCATATGGATATGTTGACCAGCGGGGCGCACTCTTTGCGCACCAGGCCGCTGTCGAGCGACTGGAACGCACCGATGACGAAACATAGCAGCTGTGTGCGGATCTTTATGGGCTGCGAGCGGTCCACGCTCATGGAGAGTATGCGGCGGAAGAACGAGGAAAACTCGGCGGGCTTGCTGGCGAAATGTTCTGCACTTGTTAGCACAGCTGTCGCATTCGTCGCCAAACAAGCAGTCTTACCCCACGACGGCAAATTCTCCCTCCTCTTGACATTGACCATAAGCGCCACCAGCAGGGCGTGGTAGTTTGACGCATCGTCGCTGAAGGCCGGCCAGAGATATCGCTCCAACAGCTGCAGGTTCTCGAGGACCAGAAGTGACGAGTAGGCGAAGTCGACCTTTTCCAGCTCGTCCCACAGCTCCTGCTTGATGACTTCGGGGCGCGCTTTCGGGGCTTTCTTCGCGGTGAGCCAGTTCTTCCTCGCTACCTGCGCGAAGTGGTTGTCGCCGTGGAGGTCTGCGACGGTTGGTCGGGCGCTGGCGTCGAGCGCGGGGGCGCCATTTTCATGTCCCGCCTGGATATCTGCCATATCTGCTCTTCTCTTGCTATGCTAGCGGTCGTCGGGTCAAGTCAGGAGGGCGCAATGCTGAGCGGGCGCACGCATTGTTGTCGCATGCACATCGTCGCGCCAAGCAAGAAGTTTGGAGCCGTGATGCGGCTCGCACGGACCATATCTCCGCCCATCGAACCTCACTCACTGCACATCCACGACGCAGCTCTCCCCTCCTCCCCACACCGCCACCATGTCCTCCATAGCCGAGACCACCATTGGCCAGCCCGTCGTCCCGGATAAGATCCCCACCGGAGAGTATCCTGTAAGCAATTGGCGCCCGCATCGCCCGCAATGGGGGAAACACAGCTAACAGCCCGCAGCTCATCGACAATGACCCGTACGCTCCCCATGCCCGCGGCGGCACCCAGCTGTACTAACACATGCCAGCCACTTCTCCCGCGTCATACGATACACCCGCCCGTCGGATTGGCTTTCGGCCGCGGCCGCCGGCGCCCTCTCCCCCGGCCTGATGCTCTACTGGGAGCGCGTGTCGCCGTCGTTCGTGGGCAAGGGCGGCTTCGCGCCCGTGATGCGCATGTCGTGCGCCGTCGGGCTGACGGGCGCCTTCCTCTTCGCCTATTCCCGGACGACATCCCGCTTCTACGGGGCCCGCGAGAACCGCCGCGAGATCGACATGGACATGCGCGAGATGGTGGACAAGGTCAAGAAGGGCGAGCCGCTGTACGGCAAGAGCGAGCTCACCGAGCACATGCAGGGCGTTGCGCACCGGAACTCGCGGTATGCCGGCGTCTTCAGCCATGTCATCCCGTGGCCCAACTTTGTGCACCACCCGTACCACGGCGTCGACACGGCCAAGTACTACCGCCAGGCGGAGGTGGAGCTGGAGCAGGAGAGGCAGAGGTCGTAGGTGGGGGCAATCCAAGGCAAAAGGTTTCTTAGAGTCGCGCAACGGCAGCTGTACATAAAGTAAGGGCCAAATCAGTCAGGTGTATCAACATTTCTTCCGTCTCACGTTTTCCACCTATATACACACAAATCCCCCACGGCCGGGCTCCTACTCATACTTAATCAGACGCCAACCTCCCCAGCACCTCGGCCTTCCCAAAGTGCAACATCTTCCACCGACTAATCCAATCATCCCTATTGACATAACCCCCACAAATCCTCCGCTTCCCCGTAAACTCACTTCTCCCATGCAGCACCCGCCAATTATCGAAAATCAACACCGTCCCCGGCCGCAGCTGCTCCCAGTACTCGTTCTCCGCCCTCTTCAAGATAGCATCGAACTTGCGAGCCGCCGCGTACCACGTGCCCACGTCTTCGAGGGGCAGTTCGACAGCCGCGCGGTCCGACGTATTCCAGCGGACGCGCAGCAACGTGCCGGTCTCTACGTCGTGCTCGAGGACGGGGAACCCGCGGTACGGCTGGATAGAGATGCCGGCGTTGCCCGAAGCGTGGGCATGCACGTTTACCGTCGCCAGCACGCGATACGCGTCTCTATCCTCTTCCAGCAGCGTTTCGGCGGCTTTGAAGCCGTCCACGAGGAGGGAGGCGCCGCCTTCACCGTCGGTGTGCGAGAGGAGGTGGAACGCCTGGAGGCCGGCCGGGTCGCTGAAGTAGGTTGTATCCGTGTGCGCGGGCAGGGCGATGTTGGTGTATGCGGTGTCAGCCTTTGCGAGGTCGGCGGTAAAGTCGTAGAAGCCGCCGTAGTGGGTTTCGCGGATGAAGGCGATGCGCTTGAGGAGGGCTTTGGTGGCTTTGGGGGTGGGGGGGACGTCCTGGATGTAGCAGAAGCCGTAGCGGCGCTGGGGGTGGTTAGCGTGTAGGCTTTCGGGGGGCGCAGAGGGTGTACGTACGATTTTGCGGAGGACGTGGAGGATGAGGTCGTCGTCGGTTTCGTTGGGTTTGTAGCCAGTCATGGAGCCTCCCGGCTTGAGCCAGGGGCATTTCGGCTTGTTTTTTGCTATTTCGCTGCCCCAGGTGACCACTCTGAGGTGGGGTTTAGTTTCCGCACATGAACTGACACGATTTTGGGGATGGAGGATGTCTCACCGGACAGGGTGGCCTTGGCGTACAACTGCTCTTCCCTTGACATTCTGTGCGGCTGCTCTGAGCAAGTCTTTATCGTATCGGCTGTGGTGACCATCGCTCCCTGTAGGCTGTTGGCCATTGATGGAAAAAGCTCCCAGTGCGGGTGATCTTACATGTAACTTCCACGAATGTTTTGAACTCGGCACACGTCCTGATGGATACATCTTCTGGAATCTGGGCTTGTTTAGCGAAATGCGGCACCGAGAGTCATAATATCATACCGAGAATATATCAAGAAGCCTCTGTTTTGTTTCGCCGTGCACGCAGCTGCAGCATTGACAATTGTCCCTGTCGCCTTCAGTACAATCACGCACATCTGCACCAAACTGAGTACTAACCTCAGCCACACATTCGGACTTGTCAAAATCAGCCATCTTGTCCTCTCAGTTGGTATACGGAGGTACTCACATTTTATGCTGTCCCACACGAAGGAAGTCGTTCTCGTGCGTGATCTCTACCTTTCTCGGATTGAAGCCCCAATCCTTGATAATTGAAAATGGTCCACCTTCAACCACTATCTGCGTTGTCCTCAAGCTTTTCCTCAAGCGCAAGATCTGGCCTTGCAACGCAGTGACGTCCTTTTGACTTTGCAAAACCTCATCAGAAAGCTGGCGGAGGCGAGGATAGTAGCCACCGGTTGCTTCGGAGGCCGAGGAAGAAGATGAATCATCTTGATCGGGAAGGTCCTTGGCATCCTCGACAGCTGGTGTGCTATCGGGTGACGCATCTTGTGCTGGCGGTGAAGAGACTGAGGAGTTGAAGCGGAGGCATTGAGAGATAGCTTGAGGGCTAGGTTTTGGGAAGTGTGATGAAGGTAGCGAGCGCACACTGCTTAGCCTAGACGCAGGTCAGTAATTGAGTTATATGCAATATATCTTGAACCAGAACAGCTGCATTCTATCACGTGCTGTTTTGTGGTGTAGTGTACAATGACAGACAAAGACAAGACCTCTGTTCAGAACTGCGGTAGCTCGGCCATGGTCTGTGTATGGACCGATCATTGGAAACCATACGCAATTCATTACAGACACCATCCATAGAAAACCCAGCTTGCGTCGGTGTCTCTCGTCTCTTGGCTGAGGGACAAGATGGGGTATCGCATGACCTACCGCGTATCTGCACGCGTGCGAAGCAGCGCTCGGAATGAGCTCATCGCCAAGGCCTGCAAATGCAGTACAGTACAATCGCAAAGTAACCGCCGTTATACTAAAGCCATACAGGTGGCGGAAGGCAGAAATTCAATGCAGAGCGATGGACAATGGATGATTGGACGACTACTGTTGATGTCGAGGTTGGGGTTGGGGTCACTTCGGCTATCGGAATGGACCCTGCACGCCGCGGCTCGTGGCAGCCCTGCAACAAAGAGAAGGAACAGCCGCAAAATGGACGAAAAGCCCCCCGGCAAGGTATCCATCGCCCAAATCAAAAGTTACCCAATGCGTGCAGTGGTGTGATGATGCAACAGTATGGTGATGGAGCGATGCGTAGTGCTTCGAAGTACGTACACCGCTGCATAGTCTTGCATTAGCGTCGCTGCTATTTTCATTGGTCCTTGACATCCATCCAAACATTGTATCGACCCCGCACGTGAAGATTTGGTCGACAGCAAAGCCCCGCCTTTTTGCTTGCTATCTTACAAGCTATATATATTACCATAACAGCCAAAATTTCATCAAATCACAAGGCGTAAGTTGCACTGGTCTCAGTCGCTCTGAATTCTCACTAACGTCTTTCAGACCTTGGCCTAATGGTAAGGCGTTGCTTTCCGGCATTCTTCTGGAGCGTGGCAAAGATTGTGGGTTCGAGTCCCATAGGTGTCGTCCAGCAAAATCCTACGAAGTCGAGGATATTTTTTTATTTAATAACATTTTTGTGGCTATAACTAATATAAGCTCCTCTATCCACTAGAGTTAGTATAGTATATTATATATAATAGCTAGTGCTACTATAAACGATAGCATAACCCTGAACTATGAATTATGTAACGCAATATGTTTGGCCGTGTAGCGCAGTATAGAAGAGAAGCAACTATCTTAAGGCGATAGAAACCTGAATTTCCATGTTGTATCAACGTTTGCCTCGAACCTGGTCACGACGAGAAAGTGTTATAAGCTTATTTGTTGAACCTTGACGAATTGAGTCCTCCCCAGACCGGATTGGAAAGATGGTATCGACGACTTAGCCCGCTACGGGTACATCGCGGAGCAAACATATCGCAAGCAGACTCTCTTTATTAAAGAAGCTGGTTGGTTTGAGCTGTTCATTTTTCGCCTGCTTTGATCTACTTAATCCACACAGGCTTGAAGTTCGAACGGGTTAACATATTACTTTGACCAAGAATTCCACGGTGACTGCTTTTTGCGACCATGTATCGCTTAGTGCAGATAACTTTCAATATCAAGTAAGAATTCGGACGGTTCAGCGACAAACGCGACAAAAGATCGTATCATGACTAACTACAATGATAACGAACGATGTTGAATCGTTTCGACGAAATCCTCTCCACCCGATCCTTGACGAATAGCTACATGAGCGCCTGTTTTGCAATCTCCAGTGCTCTCTGGAATCGCTCATACTTGTTGAGAAGTTCGTTTCTAGTGCTTGAGGTAACAAAGTTCTCCCCTGCCAGATCGGTTAATTCACCGTCCTGTAAATCGCCAATCATCTCAGGGGACAGGCATTTCACTGGACCATCGGGGCCAAGATATAGACGTTCTGTAACCTGGAGAACAACGTTGTCCGTGAACCGTTTCAAAGCAACTTTGTAATAGGCTTTCAGTGTATCGTGAATGTCGTTGACAGCCTGGTCTTCATTGCTGAGATGGATGCTTTTCAGCATCTGGGTCAGATCGACCGCGCAGCCGTCTTCGACACCCGCAGCCTCCAATCTTGCCAGAACTCGCTCTTCGCGAATAGCGGAGAGCGTATCAGCGAAGTAGTGGTTTACCGTTTGAAGGATTCCGCCTCTCTCATCGTTCAGGATTATCGTGAGTTGCTGGCCGGCTTCGTCGTGTATGTTACTATGTCCATGAGACAGCTTGGCCATAAGTTTCATTCTCAAATCATCGTCCGAGATCCTTTCTGCGAAAACTGCTTCATTGAATCTCTGAATAGCAGTGCTGATTCTTCCAATGTAGACGGTTGCGATCTTTCTCCAGGGCTCGGATTGCTGGCGGAACATGTTCTCAAGAACTCGCGGATTCACAGTGCCAGGCAGCTCAGCACCACGAGATTCGCGGTACAGGTTTCGAATCCATTCAGAAATGTCCCCCCTATCACCACCTGAGCGCGCAAATTCTTTGTCGATGTCTCCTTGCACGGTGTGGAAAACTTTGGCATGTCCGGAACGTGCCATGCGATCTGCGAACTTATCGCTAAGCTTGCGTACATGCATGCGGAGTTTGATTGGATTATCTCCGTCGAGCCCTGGGTCGTAGTTGCCGTTTAAAGCATTTGAAACATCCTGCTGATACGCATTGGCTAGGCGCATTAGGAAACGTCTTTGGTCGGCAGTCGTCTGACGCGACGGCCCCAGTATCTCCAGCTCTTTCAGGGTGCTTGATGAAAGTTGCTCGATATCTTTCACCACGTCCGGGAATTCATTGCTGATATGGTCGTAAAGAAGACCTCCAAGAAAGGACTTGAGCGCATGGATTCCGGTTCGATTCTTTTTCAACTCTGTCCAGGGGGCAACTGTTGAAAAGAATTGCTTCTCACGCCTATGCCTGTCTTCAATGGTGACTCCCGCCACAATGTCCTGAGTCGAGCGGTTCTTCACGACAAACCAACCGTGGTTCAGTTTCTCAACCTCGTTCTTGGCAATGCGGAAGACCTGTCTTATGTCAGATGGGCTCCGTTCATCTACCACCGTCCGCACTTACACCTTGCTCGTCTCCGGGCTGTAACGCATCGCATTTCGTAATGATTCCAACGGTACGTTTACCAGCAGGGTCAGCCGCACGAGCCATAGAAAATCTAGATCGGTCAATCGTGAGACTACAATCATAGAAGCCACTTACACTTCTTGGTTGGCAAGATTGTTCCGAGCATCCATGACCGCCCTAAGAAAGGATCAGAAAGTACTTGGACGTCTCGAGGCATACGGACAAGATGATGGTACGCTTATCAGTGATGTAATCCTCAATAAGCTTCCGGATAATTGCCCGGTCTTCTTCGGTCTGATACTTAGTAGGGTCTGGCGAGTCAGCGGAAATCATACTTCCATAAGTCCTGACTTACTGTGAAACAGACCCGGCACATCAACGACACTGAGGTGATGATGATCGGGCCCAGAAAGTTCGATTTTGAGGATGTCGTCAGAGAAGCGTTTCTCAAGATCCTCCAAGTTTTCTGTGTTCGGGCCCGGTAACCCCATACGCTCAGCGGCCTGTGTTGCATCAATCCTGTCATTGACTTTAATTACTCCCAAATACCTCGTTGAAGATTTCCTGAAACCTCTCGCTGTCGAACTCCTCAGCCGAAAGCGTTTTCGTAAAGCCCAGTAAGAAATCCAAGGTCGCTTCGTCCCCTTGTGCATCTGGACCAGGGATAATCGTGATTTTGACCTGTGCCTCATGGGCTGGTGCGCGACGTAGGACGATTTGCGTTGCAAAACGCGTGCACAAGTCACTAGCGACAGGGAAGCACAGCCCAGTAAGCCCTTCTAAGAGGGACGACTTCCCGCTGGACTGGTCTCCGACGACCACAAGCTTGCTTACGATGAGTATTGGATCCAACTTTGCGAAAGCTGCTGCATACCTGAGGCAGAGACACGTTCTCACTGACACCAAGCTCTCGCAGCTTGTCAATCACGCCGAGGATGCGCAGACGTTTCTCGTTGTCGAGATCGCCGATGGCACCGAGTCCGAGAGATTTCGTTGTTGTCATGGTGGAGTGTGTCAAAAGTGAAGTGTATGCGATTATTTCAGTCACAGGTGAAGCGACATCCTGCGAGGATTTAGTATGTCTTTATAGCTTTTGTCGTCAGGATGCCCGCCTCTGTCAACGATAAGCATGAACCGCTTGCGTTACAGGAAGTATGCTTATGAGATCATGATAAGAGCGTTTGACGTGGAGCCGGAAAATCCATGATCATCCTACCACGCGTTCGTGGAAATTCTTATGTGAGACTACGGTAGCCCGCCGAGAAGGCATCGATGTGACGGGACCAACAATTTAATAAGGTCAGGTATCCCAGTCCAGTGCTGATCTATCCTGAAATCGTGAACGCCATGCTAACCCGGACGACCAGCCCATAGGTAGCCATTGTAAAGGACAAGCAGGATGTCGTTTGCGTTCGCATGCATCAGTTACCCAGCTTTTTGCAGTTATCTGATTATCAAGCTGAAAATTTCAGAGGTAGAACAGGTCTCCCACTGGATGAACCCAGCCTACGGCTTATCAGTCGAAGGTGTATCATGTCAAGCAGTTGATACGTAGGAGTGCGATCTCATGTCAGTCAAATGTCGGACGGCGACGATCTAGGTAAGACGACAGGTGATCAGTTCCCTTTCGCGGTATCTGTTAAATGTCCGCGTATGTCTAAGTCATTCAGCGGTGTTTTTCATAAGCCGATCTGCTCCTCTCGCCGCCGATGTTGTCTTACTCCAAGGGATCGTTGCGCATAGCAAAGGTGAGCAACGATTCTTGAGCCCCATGGATCTCTGATCGCCCAAGTCATCATCCATAAGAAATTTCACATGCCTTCGTCGGTTGCATCATCTCACCCTTATCAATTTGTCGTAGTAAGCGTCACCAACTCGTTGGACACATTTGCAAGCTCCGGGAGGGAGGGGATCCGTGAACCACCGGCACCACATGCTACAGCAAGTCACTTGGGATGCAACATGAGCTATACTTGTGCGATAAAGTACCTATTTCCATTTGGCAAAGATAATGGTGGCACAAGACCAGGAGCATACAAAACTGCCAGATCTGCATTGCAATGGAATCGACCGGTGACGATGTCTAGGGTGCGATGTAGAAAAGCTAGATCCGCATGTTTTCGAATCCCCTTGTCACGGTTGATATATCGCAAGATCGAGAAGCAAGTGATGACTGACTCCCGTCAATAAAAGTCGCAAATCGTGCCGCATCTTATTGCAAAGCTCACCTTATCAGTGTGTGGCCGACTCAAACGGCGCGAGTATAACGATTCTTGATTGCGATACGTCTGATTCAACTTTCGCGCAGTATTCCGTCGACGAACTGGTACTGCGTCAAGGCAATCGAAGGAATTTTGGAAGCGAGTTGTAAGGAGTTGGCGCAGTCGAGCTTGTTCTTCGCTGTCCTCTGTATAGTGCAGATATATGCTCGGATGGAATCCATATATGATTACCGTATTATGACCTTGAATCCAGATCCTACCCGTAGTGGAATCTTCCCGTAAATGCCCACACAGTTCTCTCGCAAGTCTATTCTTGGCCGTCTTCGTCTGGCATTGCAATGTCAGTATCACATCGGGCGATTTCTGCTCAACCACCTTTTGAAACACGTCATACGCTGCCTCCAGAACATCATCCCCCATATTCCATCGTTCCATTCTCGCCTTGCTGAGTAGAATCCGGATGTCTAGAATTGTGACATCGTCTAATGAATACTTTCCATTTGACACCATGGCGATAAGTGAATTGATCTCTCGGAGTGTAGCGCATCGCTGTATCATCTTGTCGTATGAACCGCTATCCGCAATCGGCTCAAGAAGGACGATGATAATCCGAAGGCGACCCTTGGCGAGACGGAGTGTATTTTTCAGAACACGGGTAGAGATTCCCGACAGTCGATTGTCCCTTCCCCATTGCAGAATTGGTGAGAGGTACGG